GTGATACTTCCCCTCTATCGGGCGCTGGTCAGACCGCAGTTGGAGTACTGCGTGCAATTCTGGGAGCCACAATTCAAGAGGGATGCGGATAACCTGGAGAGGGTCCAGAGAAGGGCCACTCGTATGGTTAGGGGCCTGCAGACCAAGCCCTACGACGAGAGACTAGAGAAACTGGACCTTTTTAGCCTCCGCAAGAGAAGTTTGGGAGGTGACCTTGTGGCTGCCTATAAGTTCATCACGGGGGAACAGAAGGGAATTGGTGAGGTTTTATTCACCAAGGCGCCCCCAGGGGTTACAAGAAATAATGGCCACAAGCTAGCAGAGAGCAGATTTAGACTGGACATTAGGAGGAACTTCTTCACAGTTAGAGTGGCCAGGGGCTGGAACGGGCTCCCAAGGGAGGTTGTGCTCTCCCCTGTTCTAGCTCAGTGGCAGGCAAAGTCTGGCACATGGGCCAGACTGGGCCCACGACAGACTCATTTCCCAGCAGCTTCTGCCCACATCCCTGCAGCTGGTTTCTGTGGAGACCCCAGCAGTGGCAGTGCTGTGAAGCACAGGGCCAGGGTTTCCTTGGAGACTGGCCTGGGCACATGGCAGGGTAGGGAGCTGCTCCTTGGCTGAGGCTGAGATACTGCAGGCATAACAGCATGGTCCAGAACTGGGGCAGACTGGCCCAAGCTCCACTGCCCTCATGCCCTAGGTCAGGCCAACCATTTTGGCCACTTCTGCTTTAGCTGCTTCCTGCAGCCCTAGGTCCACTTAGTCCAGCCTTGTTATTTTAGTAGCAATGGCATAGCCGGGAATTAAGTTCTGCGATAGGGCTCTGAGCCCTCCTGCCTCCCTCTCTCATAGCGCATGATCTCTTGACCACAAGCGGTGCATCTTGCAGACACTTAAAGATGCCTGCAATGGGAGTCTTACCTCCCCTGACAGTCACTTTTGGTCCTCCAAACAAACTGAAACAAAAATCCAAGCAACTGCTTTCAATCACAAATGACTGCCTTTCTCGGCATTCACAAACAAGTGCTCGCTGAACAGCAATCCATTATTCCTTCTGGTTCCTGTTCAAGGTAAAAGGAAAAAGCCACACAACTTCCCCCCCACCCCCAACCCTTACTCACCAGGGGTCCCCTTTGCTTCCAGGCCCTCACTGCAGCTCACCAGGGAGATCCCACCCCTTCACGCATCAGGGCTAGACTGCCCCTTCAGGCTGTATATCCCCTGGGCCTCACCCCTCCTGGCCAGCCTGGCCTATTAGCTGGTCTGAGCACAGGGGCTGCTCCTTAGTTCCAGCCTACCAGCTATCTTTGCCCTGGCCACAAAAACTCTTCTCTAAAAGGGCCCTCACTGGTTTTGCTGCTTTTGTAGCCCTCACGTAGTAACCGAGAGAGATTTCCCTGTTACACTGTGAAAGCTCATGCTTCTTTGAACCAGTTTAGTCTTTAAGACGTGACCATGCCCTAAGCCCAGAACAGACATGTTGGCCCACTAATCTTTTATCTAAAGACTCTGATTCTGTCACAGAAAAAATAAATTTTTGGAGCTCTGAAACTACAGTTGAAAAATGATACCTCACCTTTCTGTTTAACTTGTAAAGATTTTTTAATTGGCATGATCCTTTTTCTTATGAATATGCCTATATAAATGAGTAGGTTTTTAAGCCAATATTTCAGCAAGGAACAAATAGCATCTCTGGTTATTTTTATACAGCATATTGATAAGCCAAAAAGGCCAATTATGATACATTTACTTACATGACTAAATGTTCTATCATATATTGTTCATCTCCACTGTTGATGGAAGCAAGATCTCCTCCTATCTCTCTACAATAATTTTGAGCCTCTAGCCATGATTTCTTTTGGTTTCTTTCTCGCATGAAAGGCTGATGATAAATTTTTTAACAGAACACTGTTATATTGCATGCATTAAAAAATAAATCTCAGCTGTGAAAACAATGCAAAACTTTGGCTGTTTTGAGAAATGAAATAGTCACTCATAGAAAAATAAGCATATTTTAGAGGAACTACAGAAAACATCAGATTTTTCAATTGTTAAGTAACTGTTGAAGGGACTTGTAAATTGTCTATATACCAACTTCTTACATTGGTAGTTCGGGTTTCTCTGAAGTTTAAATTTTATAGCTGGCTCTATTATGTACCAAGTTTATGATTAGCTTAGATCTGTAATACTTACCTTGAAGCAGGAACTAATGCTGTAGTCTGAATCCCAGCCCATGGGGCATATCAAATTGGTCATAGTTTCTGGAATAGGATGAAGAGTCGCTGCTTCAGCTAGTTGTTTGCAGAGAAATTTTGCCTTTTCTTCACAGTTTTGAACATCCCACAACCCAGCTGCAATTCCAGTTCTTATGGCAACACAGCCTCGCTTACTTCCTTTAAGATATGGAAATGATATTAAAATATAGTTATAAAAATTATGGAAGAACATACAATCTCTTTTTATTATTTCTTTAAAAAAAAGTAAACCTATATTAGTATTCAGAAGGAAATGGCTGTCCAAAAAAAAGAGTTTTGCTAATTGGGCCATTAAAACTGGAAAGGAGCCTTTCATTATCTTAGCTTCATCTTCTATGATTTAAATTGTAAATGGACAAGCAGTCATCTTGTTTAGCACTTTCTTGTGGTTTTGTAGTGTGAGATTCTGATGCTGTCTTGGGACTGTGGATTTTGGGTTACCACCCCAGGATCACAAATTGCTCATATCTCCATGGAGCAGTTGGATGAGCAGAAAACATGCCACTTAATATGATCTGGAGATACTCCTTCCATGAAAAGTCCTAACTTTGGTACAATATGAGTGCACTTAGCACATGTTTTCTTGCTTAAATATGTAGACACTTATGCTGTAAGTTAACATATTCTAAGTGTAATGTACAACATGACCCTAAGGAATGTGAAAGAAAAGCTTTAAAGGAGTTCACTTTTGATTAGTCATTCAACTGCACAATGTCATGGAGTGTGTCATTAGGAACAGGTTTTTGGTCTCAGCTAATTGGACAAAAAGAAAATAGTTTGGGATCACAAAATAGGGAATGGAAAACTTTCCTTGACTAGGGACAGACATTCGAAAAAGCCAAAGCCTGAAATGATTCAATCTTTGAAGTTTAGTCTAACCTGCCTAGACTGAGTCAGTTTGCAATTGCATGGAGATTCCCTCTGGACTGAAGAAATGCAGGCACATACCTGCAGTGGCTCAGGCTAGAAGCCGGGGGGCAATAGAGCAGCCCTCCCTTCCCTTTCAGAGTGCTGAGCTAAGTGGGGGTGGGCATGGCCGGGCCCCAGCAGGATGCTCTGATTAGGGAGAGGTTAAACCCACACCCTGGCCTGCATAGTTTCAGCCTTTTCCCCACTTGCTGTTCAAGGGGCGGGAGTGTTGCCAATCCCCAGCCCTCAGCTAGCACTCTGAGGCAAGAGGGGGGGGTGTGCAGTGCATGCATCTGTTGATGATACTTAGCTTTTCAATCTCCCTCTCTCTGCTTCTTCATACTGTCTGCAAACCTAAAGGTGAGGGAGCCAGCAGGGAGCTGATAACACAGTGTTTATCAGCCCATCAACAAAACAAAAGCCTCTCTCATTAGTTCAAGCTCTTCTTAAACAGCTTTTTCCAAGGATGGAATGGAGGGACGGTACCAGCAGACCTGTTGATTAGCTCTAAAAAGTCCTAAGTGGACACTGGTTTGTCTGTCTGTCCCAGTGAAATTGGAGACACACACACACACACACACACACACACACACACACACACACAGACGCCTTTCAGCATTAGCTAGCACACTACATGCCTAGAGTCTGTGGGGCTGGAGTCCATGCTGTGGGAGATGGGAGGGAGGGGGAATCCCTGCTTGAGCAGCCAGCAGCAGGGTTGGGCAGGGGGAAGCAAGACAGACCCTGTTGTGCCTGCAGTCTCTGCCAAGAGAGCAGAGGGGCAGGGCCAGCTCTGCTCTCTGGAACAGACACCCCCACCCAGGGCTGCAAAGCATCTGGGATTCTGGGACACTCTGGTTTAACTTAAACCAGGAAGGGGTCTGAGACAGACATTGCATAAATCGATTTGACCCGAATCAATTAAGCCTGATACTACATTCAACCAGGTTTATCTTAAACCAGTTTCAGCCATTTTGAAACTAGTTTATGTGCACTGACATTATGTTTTGTTACAGGTTTAAACCAGTTTCTGATCTTTTAAACCAGTTTGTGTGTAATGTCTATCCCAAGCCCTTAAGTGCAACAGCAGCTAGGAAGAATGCAGCCTTCAGAGATGTCATGGTGAGTCAAAGGATCAAAAATCAGTGAAGAGTGGATGTAAAATACTACCATGTCAGAATAAGAGTGTTTACATTTACCTGGCACTGGCGTGAGCAGTAACCCATGGAACAGCACAGTGTAAGATGAGGTCCTTGGTGTCAAGGTCTAGGGACAGACATTACACATACACCCATTTAAGTGATCAGAAACTGGTTTAAACCTGTAACAGAACAGATGTTCAATGCACATAAACCAGTTTGAAAATGTCTGAAAACGGTTTAAGATGAACCTGGTTGAATGTAGTAAGTATCAGACTTAACTGATTTGGCTCAACTCAGTTTATGTAATGTCTGTCCAAGACCCCTTGCTGGTTTAAAATAAACCCAACTCACCCAGCATCCTGGCATACTCTCTGGGCTGGGTGGAACTCTCTGCTCCACAGCAGAGCTGGCCCCTCCCCTCTGCTCCCTGGCTGGAGCTCCGGCAGAGTCTGCAGGTACAGCAGGGCATGCCTGGCTTCCCCCTGGCCAACCTCCCCACTTTACTGCTTGCTGGACAAGCAGGGATCCCCTCCCTCCCTCCTATCTCCCCCAGCACAGACTCCAGCCCCATGGACCCTAGGCATGTGGTATGCTAGGTAATACTGAGAGGTGTCTCTATATGTGAGTGTCTCTAATTTCAGGCAGACAGAACAGTGACCACTTAGGGCTGTTTGAAGCTAATCAACAGGTCAACCGGTTAGGCTGCTAAAGAAGAGTTTGAACTAATGGAGAGAGGCCATTGTTTTGCTGATGTGGTGATAAACACTGCTATCAGCCCCCTGCTGACTTGCTCGTCTGTCAGTTTACTGCAGATAGAAAAAAGAAGCAGGGAGGGAGATTGAAAAGCTCCATATCATCAACAGTTGCATGCATTGCACACCCCCTTGCCTCAGAGAGCTAACTGGAAGCTGAGGCCTGGCAACACTCCTGCCCCTTGAGCAGCGAGAAGGGAAAGGCTTTGGATACTGCACGCAGACTTTGCTGATCAGAGAGTCCTGCTGAGGCCTGGCCATGCCCCCCTCCACTCAGCACTATGGAAGGAAGGAAGGGCTGCTCTAGTGCCCCCTGGCTTCTAGCCTGAGCCACTGCAGGCATGTGCCTGAATTTCCTCAATCCAGAGAGAATGTCTGTCCAGTTACAAACTGGTTCAGCCTAGCCAGGCTAGACTAACCTGCAAAGATTGAATCAATTCAGTCTCAGGCTTTTTGAACGTCTGTCCCTAGATTCATAGATTCATAGACATTCGGGCTGGAAGGGACCCCGGAGGATCACTGAGTCCAGCCCCCTGCCCCTGGGGCAGGAAGGCAGCAGGGATCATAGGATTCCAGCAAGATAAGCATCCAAATGTGTCTTGAAGGCGTTCAAAGTGGGTGCCTGAACCACCTCCAGTAGCATTCTATTCCAAACCTTGGGGGCATGGACAGTAAAGAAGTTCTTCCTTATGTCCAGCCTGAATTGGTCGTGGCAGAGTTTGTGACCATTCGATTTTGTCATCCCTTGGGGTGTTCTGGGGAACAGATGTTCCCCCAGATCCTGGTGAACACCCCTGATAAACTTATAGGTGGCCACCAGATCGTCCCTGAGCCTGCGCTTTTCCAGGCTGAAGAGTCCCATGGCTCTCAGACTCTCATCATGAGGTCTGATTTCCTGACCTCTGATCATGTGCGTGGCTCTCCTCTACATTCTCTCAAGCTTCTCCACATCGTTTTTGAATTGTGGAGCCCAAAACTGGATGCAGTACTCCAGCTGTGGCCTCACCAAGGCTGAGTACAATGGGAGAATGACATCCTGGGATTTGCTTGAGAAGCATCTATGGATGCAAGCCAGCGTTTTGCTCGCTTTACTAGCTGCAGCATCACATTGAAGGCTCATGTTCATCTTGTGGTTAATCATGACCCCCAAGTCCCTTTCATCTGTAGTGTTAACCAGTGTAGCACTGCCAAGCCTATAAGCATGCTGCAGGTTTTTCTTCCCAAGATGGAGAGCCTTGCATTTTTTGGTGTTAAACACCATCAGGTTCTCATCCGCCCACTTCATGAGCATGTCAAAATCTGCCTGGATCACCCTCCTGTCCTTAGGTATGGATGCTTTACCACAGAGTTTGGTGTCGTCGGCGAACTTGGCGAGACCACTTCTCACACCAATGTCAACATCATTGATGAAGATGTTAAAAAGTATAGGCCCTAGGACAGAGCCTTGAGGGGGACCCCACACATATTGATCACCACACACCACGACGATTGGCTACCATCAACTGCCACCCTCTGGGTCCTACCATGGAGTCAATTCCCCAGCCAGTGGATCATGGTGAGGTCAAGGCCACAGTTAGCCAGTTTTGCCAAGAGGTGATCATAGGATACCAGATCGAAGGTTTTTTTAAAGTCAAGATATATGACATAAATCTCTTCCCCCTTGTCCAAGTGATAGGTCACCTGGTCATAAAAGGAAATGAGATTGGTCAAGCAAGACCTACCCGCAACAAACCCATGCTGGGTATTCCTCAGGATATTGCCATCAGCTAGCCTGTATAGGATGGCCTCTTTGATAATCTTTTCCAAGACCTTCCCCAGGATAGAGGTCAGGCTGATGGGCCTGTAGTTTTCCAGATCTACTTTCCTCCCTTTCTTGAAGATAGGCACCAGATTGGCCTTCTTCCAATCTTCAGGCACTTCACCAGAGTGCCAGGAGTTCTCAAAGATCCGTGGCAGGGGCTGAACTATGATGCTTGCCAGCTCCTTGAGTACTTTTGGGTGTAAACCGTCAGGGCTGGCTGACTTGAAGGTATCCAGCCTATCAAGGTGTTCCTTCATGAGGTCAGCTTCGATGGAGGGTAAGGAGTCTCCCTTACCCGGGCCTCCCTGACCCACAGTGGGCAGGGGCATCCCATGGGACTGGTGAAAAACTAACACAAAGTACCCAATTAACAAATATGTTTTTTCATGGACATTGGTTGTCAGTTCTTCCATGTGGTTTAGCAGAGGTCCAATGTTGCCCTTGCTTTTCCTCCAGCTCCCCACATATCTAAAAAAGGACTTTTTATTATCCTTGATATTTGTAGCTAGCTAGAGTTTCATCGCAGTCTTGGCTTTCCTGGTTTGCTCTCTGCAGGTTCGGACCAGTGCAAGGAGGTCTGGACCTCCTCCTTGGTGGTGGCTCCAGTCCTCCATCCTTTGTAGGTCTTTCGTTTAAGATGCAGGAGATCCGCTAGTTCTCTGGAGAGCCAAGGGAGCTGCTGTGCCCTTTTGCTGCCTTTCCTCCAAGAAGGGATAAACTTTGCTTGCAGATCCAGGATTGCTCCCTTGAGGAGCAACCACTCATCCTGAACTCCCCTCCCCTTTGGGTTGCGGCCCTTCAGGGCCTTACTGACAAGCCTCCTGAGCTTGTCAAAGTCAGCTTTCCTGACATTGAGGACTTCTGTATTACTGACTGACTTGCCAGCTTTATGGCAGATGGTGAAGGTGATCAGCTCGTGGTCACTGTCACCCAGCTTCCCTTTGATCATTAGGCCTCTGATTAGGTCATCCCCAGTTGCCAGTACCAGGTTGAGCAGTGCTTTACCTCTCATTGGCCCGTAGACTTCCTGCATCAGATAGAGGTCATCCACGCATGACAGAAAGCTTTGCAACAGCTCGGGTTTGGCTGGGTGCTCCTCCCACGAGATGTCTAGTTAAAGTCTCCCACGACAACCATACACTGGGAGCATGTGGCCTCATCCCATTCCCTGGCAAACTCTTGGTCAAAGTCTTGACCCTGGGTCGGGGGTCTGTAGTAGACTCCCACCATAGTATCCCCTGTGCCATGTTCCCCATGGATTTTAACCCAGAGGGTCTCAAGTCATCCACTGTGGATGCCAATGTCAGATTGCAGGGACACATAGCTTTCTTTGACATAGAGAGCTACACAACCGCCCCTTTAGTCCACTCGATTCCTCCTGTACAGGGTATAGCCATCTAGCCCAGGGGGTTGTGGTACATGCTCATAAGAGACAACAAAACATTTCAGGATTCTGATTCTAATTTTTGCCATTTGTCATTTGGGTCTAACATCAAGTCATTTGGGTCTAACATCAAGCTAAACTAATTTGCATAGCAATTCATTCCTACCACTCCAACAGAAAATCCATAACTAACAAACCCTCTGTGGTGGATTTGGAGCTGTTGGCCTAGGTGTTTGGATGCTTATTGTTTGAACACACTGCGTGAACTCACTAAAGGGCTGTCTGGGAAAAGAGGCAGGAAGGAACACAATGGCTTAACATAACCTTAACAGAACCTCCACTCAGGAAACTTAAAGGTTTTAAAGTGCAATGTCCAAAATCTTAACATTGATGATTTTGCCTCCTTTTTGGCCAACTTAAAAAGCATTTGCATTGAGAAGGTTCAAAGCACAGGAACCAAAAAAGAAAAAAAAGAACCATACCAAGGTTAAAAAAGGATACACTTTTAAAGCAGTAATTGTTTTGGGGAAACAGACTAGGGTATAGGGGCATTTGTACATGCCACGGGGGTTTACTTTGCTTTAATTCACCCTAAATTGAAGCAGTGGGTCTTTAAAAACATGTTTTTAAAGACCCACTGCTTCAATTTAGGGCAAAGTAAATCCCCATGGCGTGTAGTGGCATGTACAAATGCCCCTATACCCTAGTTTCACACAGGGGCCGGCCCCGCCCCTTCCCGCCCCCTGCCTCTCCAGTGGCAGGGAGGGGTGGGCGAGCTGCTGGCGGGCCGATCGGTCCCTGAGCTGTGGGGGCAAGGCTGGTGCTTCCCTTCACAATGGCAGCAGTGCCCCCCAGGTGGCACCTGCCTGCAAGCATCTGGCTTGAGTGGCCCCGGAGGGCACCACAGCTGCAGACAAAAGCACTGGGTCCCCATGCAGTTCAGGCAGGCAGGCTCCGGGGAGAAAAAAAAAAAAGATCAGGCTCGCTGCTTTTTTTTCTTTTTCCTTCAGTGGAACCTGCCTGCACAGGCTGCCTGCGCACAGCCCCTGAGCTGCACAGGGCCCAGTGCTTCCCTCCACAGCAAACTAAACCACCTCAGAGATGTTTTATTTTGCTGCATTCCAAAGTCGTCTAACGCACCCCAAAGTCATTTAATGTGCATTACGCCGCTGACATGTGCAAACAGTCGCACCATTAAAGTGATGCAAAAGGGCATTAAGCTGCTTTAAAGGCCAGATTTGTGGCATGTACAAATGGTCTAAGACTCCATTGGAGGTGTTAGAAAAAGTTATCCCTGTCTAGCTTACCAATGGTAAAATTTTAGGAAAGACTTACATACATGAAGTTTGTATAGTGGTTGTTTATAAATGCCTTGTCCTTATGTCTAATATACAGTTACTTGATTTTGTCAGAACCTGGGCCTGGGCATCTTCTGGAAGAGTTGTAAGGCCTTTTTATTCAAGAAGGTCTTCAGAAGATAGGGTTAAGTTTGAAGGCACTCTCTGAGAGGCTCAACATATTATATTATTCTAATGTGTTTATTCTTTTCTATTTATTTGACCTTTATTGTAGGTCACCCTGAGCCTCTGTTGGGGAGGGTGGAATATAAAGCTAACAAATCTACTATAAAAATAAATTATGAGGGGATATGACTGGTTAGAGACTGATGAAGGGGAGACCCACAGGTGCCCAGACTGAGCTGGACTTCTTTAGGTAATAGTGGTTGATATGCACTGTACTCCATACCCTAGTCTGAGTAAAACAGGCAAAGGCACACAGCCTGACACTGAGAGATAGAGATCACAAAGGAGATGGAGGTATTATCCTCTACAGAAGTTTTTGAGAATTGCTAATGACTGCAGTCACATTGGAATTTCAAAAGTAAGCTTTTTAAACACAGACTCAAGATACAGAAACTTCACATAATAAAGTGTACCAGGCATTGCTGAATTCCAGTGAGTAAACAGAACAGCTTCACCACTGGTCCATTTGAATGTCCCTTGTTTTTCCATATATGAAAGACCAATCCAAAAATAATTTTCAGGCCTCAAACCAACAAGACTAGTCAGGTAGGCCTGTTCATACCTGGTAAGAAAAGAAAGAGCAAAATGAGGTAAATTCTGGTTTTCTCATGGTTTCTTATTACCAAAAATGATAGCGAATTTAAAAGTTGATCAACGTTTCTCAGTAAATTTCTCTTTCCTGTAACACCTGAGGAGGGGTGGATGTCGTATACTTAGACTTCAGGAAGGCCTTCGATACGGTATCCCACCCCATACTGGTGAACAAGTTAAGAGGCTGTGACTTGGATGACTACACAGTCCGGTGGGTGGCGAATTGGCTGGAGGGTCGCACCCAGAGAGTCGTAGTGGATGGGTCGGTTTCGACCTGGAAGGGTGTGGGAAGTGGGGTCCCGCAGGGTTCGGTCCTTGGACCGATACTCTTTAATGTCTTCATCTGTGACTTGGACGAGGGAGTGAAATGTACTCTGTCCAAGTCTGCAGATGACACAAAGCTATGGGGAGATGTGGACACGCCGGAGGGCAGGGAACAGCTGCAAGCAGATCTGGACAGGTTGGACAAGTGGGCAGAAAACAACAGAATGCAGTTCAACAAGGAGAAATGCAAAGTGCTGCACCTAGGGAGGAAAAATGTCCAGCACACCTACAGCCTAGGGAATAACCTGCTGGGTGGCACAGAAGTGGAAAGGGATCTTGGAGTCCTAGTGGACTCCAAGATGAACATGAGTCGGCAGTGTGACGAAGCCATCAAAAAAGCCAATGGCACTTTATCGTGCATCAGCAGATGCATGACGAATAGGTCCAAGGAGGTGATACTTCCCCTCTATCGGGCGCCGGTCAGACCGCAGTTGGAGTACTGCGTGCAATTCTGGGGGCCGCACTTCAAGAGGGATGCGGATAACCTGGAGAGGGTCCAGAGAAGGGCCACTCATATGGTTAAGGGCCTGCAGACCAAGCCCTACGAGGAGAGACTAGAGAACCTGGACCTTTTCAGCCTCCGCAAGAGAAGGTTGAGAGGCGACCTTGTGGCTGCCTATAAGTTCATCACAGGGGCACAGAAGGGAATTGGTGAGTATTTATTCACCAAGGCGCCCCCGGGGGTTACAAGAAATAATGGCCACAAGCTAGCAGAGAGCAGATTTAGATTGGACATTAGGAAGAACTTAGGGGGTCGGACTTGATGATCTATTGAGGTCTCTTCCGACCCTAACATCTATGAATCTATGAACCTTTTTTTTCCTTTCTCTCTCCTCAGCTTTCCTAAATCTTCAGTGTCCTTAAGCTCTTTTGTCCCTCTTTCACTCCGCGCATTCTCCCATGCCCTGTCTTTCATCTATACTTCATCAAGTAATAAAATCACAGAAACATGGAGAAATAGTGATGGAAGAGACCTTGAGATGTTATCTAGTCCAACCTCCTGCCTGAGGCAGGAGCAGCCCTATCCAAACCATCCCATAAAATCCACTGTCAAACTTCTTAGCAAAACTACACAGTCAATGCTGACACAAAACCCAAGAAACACCCTAACCCAGGGGTAAAGCAGGGGGATTATGGCAGCCAATGTTCTGTTGCTGCAAATGCTGTTAATATACACCTGAGAGATCCCAGGAAGAGGGCCATGCCCCCACTACAGAGGAAGACAAAAACCTTCACAGTCTGTACCAATCTGACCATGGGGGAAAATTCTTTCCTGACTCCAAATATAGCAATCAGTCCAACACTAAGTGGAGGGGCAAGACCCTCTAACCAGGAATAACGGAGATTTGACCCCAGTCAAAATCCCCAGCCTTGGCTACATCCAACACCCAGTGCCTCTGAGGAAGACTTAAAAAAACCTGACACACGTAGCAGTTCCTCTTGCACAAGATAAACACGCTACTTTCTTCATATGAATTGCCTTACAAGTCCTTTATCATCTTTTTCACCTGCCTTTGGACCCTCTCCAAATTCTCGGTGTCCTTTTTAAAATGTGGACTCTAAAACTGCACACAGTACTCTAGATGAGGCCTAACTAGTGCCAGGTAAAGAAGCACTAGCACCTCCTATGTCTTCCACCTAAAGCTTCTATTGATGCATCCCAAGACTGTTTGCCTTTTGTGCAGCTGCATCACACTGCAGATTCATACTGAGTCCATGTTCTATCAAGACTCCCAGATCCTTCTCCATGTTGCTGCCATCCCAATTATTCTTCCCAATGTGCAGCACTTTGCATTTGTCAGAAATGAACTTCATCCTATTAGCTCCAGCCCAGCTTTCCAATCTGTCAAGATTCTTCTGAATTCTGAACTCACAATCCTTCCCAGTTTCATGTCCTCTGCAAACTTTCTCAAGGAGCTTCCTATGACTGTATCCAAATAATTAATAAATGTATTGAACAGCACAGGACCTAGGACAGAGCCCTATGGGACTCCATTCAAAACCTAAGGCCATTCAGATACGGATCCATATCCATATCTGAATGGATATGGATATGGATCCATATCTTAATTGTGGTTATTGAGCCAAGTGTCTATGTACCTTATTGCAGTTTTGTCCATCCCACATTTCTCCAATTTGTGAGAAGGTCATGTAGGACTTTATCAAAAGCCTTGCTGAAGTCCAGATGCACTATAGTCACAGTATTTTCTTCATCTACCCAAGTAGTTACTCTGTCACAGAAGGAGACCAAGTTTGTTGGGCATGATTTATTTTAAGTAAAATCCATGCTGGCTGCTTCTGATCAGTCTTTCTTCTGCCAGATGCTGGCAAATGGTCTTCCCTAGGATGTGCTCCAATAACTTCCCAGATATTGAGGTGAGGCTAACCAGTCTGTAGTTTCCTGGGTCCTCCTTTTCACCTTATTTAAAGAAGGTCATTATATAGGTGCTTTTCTAGTCCTGTGGTACATCATCCACTTCCCATAGCTTTATGAATATCATTGCCAAGGGCTCTGAGATCTTATCTACCAGCTCTTTCAGTACCCTGGGATGAAGTTCATCAGGACCTGCTAACTTAAATTTATTCAGACCCGTCAAGTTTTCTGTCTCTTGCTATTTGTCCCATTTCTTATCCAAATAATTTTTATTAGGTGCTGGGCTGCAGGTTATTTTTTTGGGAAGACTGAGGCAAGGTGATGTTGAGTAGCTCCATTTCCTTTGCATCCATTAAGCATTCCCCCTAGCTATTTAACAGTGGACCCACAGCTTTCTGTTTTTTCTAACCAACATACTTATAGAATCGCTTCTTTTGTCTTACCCTCCCTCACCAGCTACAGCTCATTCTTTATCTTTGCCTTCCTGAGTTTGTCCCTGAAGTTTCTTACTATTTCCTGATACACTTCCTTGGTGACTTGCCCATTCTTCCATTGCCTGTATGCTTTCCTTTTGCATTTGAGGCATCCTAGAAGTTCCTTGTACAGCCTACATTGGTCTCTTGACATTCTTCCTGTGCTTCCATAGTGTCAGAACAGTTTCCTTTTGGGTTTCCTGTGTTGTGCCCTTTAGAAGCTTCCAGCTTTCCTGGATACCTTTATCCTTCAATCTGTTTTCCCATGGCATTATACCTATTAAATTCTTAATTCAGGTGAAATCTGCCTTTTTGAAATCTAGCATCCTGGTTTTGCTGACCTCATGTTTTCCTTTTCTCAGGATTTAGAAAGGTATCATACAATCATTTCCTCCCAAGTTGCCCATCACCTCACATCCTCCACTGATTCTTTTTTATTAGTCAGAACAAGATCCAAGATAGGTGATCCCTAATTGTATCCTCCACCTTCTGGACTACAAAGTTGTCCTCCTCACAGGGTAGGAACTGGCTCAACATTTTATGTTTGGCTGTATTGTTTTTCCAGCAGATACCCAGAAAATTGAACTTTTCCATCAGTATCATCTCATAGCTTTTGGATAATTTTGTCACTTCCTTGAAGAGTGCCTTGTCCACCTCTTCTTCCTGACTTGGGAGCTTATAATAAGTCCTCACTGTTATATCACTGCTGCACCTTTAACTAAAGCCAAATGCATTCTGCACTACAATCTTTTTCCTCCTGAAGCAGGGAACAAATGTAGGTATTTTTGACATACAAGGCAACACCACGACCTTTTCCGCCCACCTTATCCCACTTTATCTTTCTAAAACAAAGTATAACCTTCAGTGTCGACATCCCAGTCATAAGAGCTGTCCCACCAGGTCTCCATGATACAATCAGATCATAGTTCTTTTCACAGACTGCAGCTTCCAGCTCATCTTGTGTATTCTCCTTACTCATTTTCCTTGCATTTATATATACATCAGACATTAGGGCTGGGTGAAGCTTCGGGTGCTGATTCAATTTGGAGGAGATTTGGCCTGATTTTGGAAGTGATTCGGGCAATCCCTGCTGCCCCTCACTGCCACACACTGCATGGCACACACTGCATGCCTGACTCCCGCCTGCTCTCCCAGCCCCCCCTCAATGGCTGCCCCACCCAGCCCAGCTCCTGGCTCTTTAAAAAAAAAGAAAAAAGCCCCCACTCACCAGCTGCTGCAGTGGCCTTGGGGCTTCTGGGGGCTTGTGGAAGAGCCCCCTCATGCAGCACAGGGCAGTGGGGGGCAGTAGGGATGCCCCCCACCTGGCAGAAACCAGTGAGTGGGGGCTAGTTTGTTTTTTTTTTTAAAGAGCCAGGAGCTGGGGCTGGGCGGGGCAGCCATTGACAGGGCTGGGAGAGTGGGTGAGGGATGGGGCCTGTTCAATTCAGAGAATAGGCTGATTTGTCAGCAGCCGAATCTTCGAATCAGATTCAGCTGAATCGATTAGGGACAGTGATTCAAATCAACAAATTGAATCACTGTCCCCTGAATCGGGCAAATCCAAACCTGAAGTGAATACTAGCCACTTTGCATGGGCCTATCAGACATATTATATACTTCAATCTACTGGTTTCTATTTTGCACCATTTGTTGCTGTCCTGTGGCTCTCCAGACCTTTCTCAGAGTTGAGCTGCTTCTTCAGGTCCTTTCCCCTCTGGATGATTTGATCTGTCACCAGAGGGGGGTTTTTAACACCCTGCTTGGAACCTATTTTAAAGCACACCCCATTAGGTTGGCCAGATGATGCCCAAAGATACTCTTTCC